GTGAGAGACGTCGCGTGGCACAAGTTTCTCCGGCAAGCATCACAATAGAGACATTTCCTGAATCCGGTCGTTTGTGTCATCGTCACATACAAGAGTGATGCAAATTGCATAGACTCTGATGGGCAAATTGCTCTACGTGAACTCTGACATCGCACAAAGATTAATTGCGCATGCACGCGCTCTTTCCGTATTATCTGTGACGCACATTGCGACCCACAGAGATTCATTGCAGCAGCAGATGATGTGTCATTTAGGCAAAAATTCAGTAAAAAAAAAATGCACACACGGTTAGGTAAACAGAGTGTAAGTAGGATTCATTAAAGGGACATCCTACTTAGTCTCCAAATATATACCCATTATAATTTGAAAAGTGTCTTTAATTTTAGGTTAATTCGAAATTAAAGGAGAAAATCTCTATAAGCTTTGAGTGAGGAAATAAATAAATTACGTATGTAGTGAATTTATTTTATTATTGATTATTATTTGTCGTTCTACCAAACATTTTACATCAGAGAAAAAGCAAATTTCAATTTTGATAAATTAAATTACCGAAGAAAATATTGATAAAGTACAGTTTAGTTTTTATAAAGATAATAAAAATTGAGCTCTTTTGTATGACTGAGTAATTTTTTGCAGCCATTTATGTCTCTTTTACTGCCTCTCAATTTGTTTTCTGGTTTTTTGTTCATGTAATGCACTTCTGCACTTCCTGCAAGCGTCGGCCACCGCAGTCTACAATAAATAACAATAGTATGGCGGCCCTGATCTTGCGGCGCGGCAGTAATTCGAGTGCCAAGAATGCACTCGCCGAGGTAGCTTTATATTTAGTGTCACTTGAGTACAAACGGTTCGTCCCTATGAATTGAACGCGCGTTCGAGCGTGAAAGAGAAGCACCTGCTGGCGGCGGCTAATGCAAATTGACGCACTCGCACCTCCGGCTGTGGAACAATGGAAACTTGCAGATAAGAATTACTGCGTTTGCTTGCCTTTATTACATTATTGCGTGCCAGTATGAGTTATTATTATTTTTTAACTCTTTCATTAAATGAACAAAAAAAATTACTCATACTTTTTCTTCAAACCCTTTGCGAAATTTATTTTAACACTTTTTTAATTTCAAATTTACACCTCCTTTTTTTAAAACGTCGATTTACATTCTTGACGACCTCAGTCCACTAAAGATTTTATTTATTTTTAAGCACATTTAGTCCAAAGTAAATTAATTAAATTTTAAGGCCGATGCAAAAGCAGTTCACTCAATAAATTTGCAGGCTTGAACGTTGACCTCGGTACGGAACAAGGAACAAGATAAATTTGGCGGCCACGCGAAATTTTCGCACGTCACTTTTCGGCCTGAGTAGAGTCTCGATTTCGAGTACATAAGCCTGGGAGAAAGGAAGTGGCACCGGCCGAAGTAGGTCGTGCGCCTTTGACCCCTGGGCCGCCTACGATCGAAATAGTCTGTCTGCGGAAATAAAGTGGATTCTGATCAAAAGGTCAAGAAACTCGAGTCGCTGACCGCGGCTGGCCGGTCGGTCACACCTGCATTTCCAGTTGCTGCACTTCTTGTTTCTTTTTTTAAATTTATTACATTTGCATAAGATTTCCGAGTTGTGCAATGAGTCGGTGCCATGGGAAGTGGCGGGTCAATTAAAATACGAAGCCAATATTGATTTCTAATGTCAAGGCTGATGGGCGACTATATATTCTTCTATAACTCCACTTGTTGCGGTTTGCCAGAAGGCCAAGAGGGTGAAATGGGTCGCCGTTTTTTTTATATTTGCATCAATCGGATGTAATGACCCTAATAATCACTCTTTGCGTTATGTGCGACGACTAAGGACCTGGAATTGACTTTGTTGAGAAACTCGATTTTTAATTGTTTTAACAAAATTAATTTTGTTAATTGCCTTCTGATACAATCAATAAAGACACTTTGCAACTAAATTGTAACTGCGAGTTTTTGTGTGCTTATTTTGTCTATTTATGATCATTTTTTTTTTAAACAGATCAGGATTCCTGTTTTCAAAAAATCCAAATATCTTGAATTAAAGATAAAATTTTTGTTAGTTTTCCGAGTTAAGGTTTTCTCGCTCAGTTCCTGAATCCACGTTCAATTACTTTTAGAAAATTAATTTTTTTGACAAAATCTTGAAAATGTTAAATAATCAATTGATTACAACATTTACATTAATTATAATACTATTTACGGTAATAAGTAAAATGCGTGAACTATGAAAACTGCTGCACGGTCTATAGTATTGTTCTACTGTAGCTTTATTTAATTGGTATGAAAAATTTGTCCCAAAATTACAAAACGTGGAATTGAGAAGGAATAATTATGTTTTGGGCTACTTAAAAAAATATAACTTATGTGACTGTACTTTCCACACAATTGTCTAGCTAAGAATATTGTAAAAAAATCTAGTTTTCAACACTGCATCTTTTGGATTATTAAGGAATTAGTTATTTAAATTTATAAATAATGATTTTTGTTATTCATTTTCAATTTATTTATTTACTTGATATTATTATTTAACTAATACTTCTTTATTAATTCTCAGAGTCAAATTGTTCAAATTTAATGGATCCTTTTACACCTTTTCAAATTAAATTCAATAAAAATGTTAGAGAGAAACAACAAAGCTCACTCTTGCACTAAAATTTCCGTATGATTATAATAATAAGTGAGGCGTGCAGTGCATGATCTGTGCAGCAGCAAACATGAATGGTGGTCGGCACATGGGCATTATTATCTTTAAAGAGGGTTAAGGTCGAACGGAGAGGCGTGCTAGAGTTGGTCGCGTCTGCTGCTGCTGCAGCACTCGCGGCTGCGATTCAGGTCAGCCGCGAGATATATGGAAAATCCTTCTTAAAAAGCTGCGAATTATGTGAGCCGGCGAATCCGGTTCCACTTTTCCATAAATCAGAATTTTCTAGCTCGCGCGACGCCTGAACTTGACCCTGGCAACAGATGAGAATAAGCTTTTTTCACCTGATGTAACCGGCCTGACCTGCGCTGCTGCGATTTTATAAAATTTATCTACACACACTGGTCCAAGGAGAAGCGAAGTTTCTCGCTTGCATCAGTCTCAAATCTTATCTCCTGCGATCTAGAGAGTTCGTGTCGAAACGCTTCCGAGTCCGAAAACGAAATTAATGGATGTCGTTTTTTGTTTTATTGCTGGCCAACAATCATAATTATATATAAAATATAATAAATGAAGGCTCGCGCGCGCGAGAGGTGCTTGTTGTTATGTAAAGAAGCGGAGAGGCAGCCTTGTAATGCTGCACGCCGTGTGACCTGTTTCGACAAACTAGTTGAGAGCTTTAAATATAAAGCTTTTGTAATCGCCTTCAATTAAAGCTGAATTACTCACCGCACTCGCCACCGCGCGTCTTGCTAATTTCGTCCTCCCGTCAATTAAAAATCAAAACCTACACGTTTTATTTTCATGAATTCAAAAACCATAAATGAATATGTCCATGAATCTGTCAAACATTAGTTGTGTTTTGAGATAATATGCGCATTTCATTGAAGAAAATCAGTCGGCAAATAAAGGACGAGCAATTAGCAACTACTATTTCTGCGATGGCAAACGCGCTAAACGCCCCAAAGTTGCAAAACCTTGCCGCAGTCAAGGAAAAATGAAGCAAATATTTATTTGCATGTCTGCGAAAAATTTCTTAAGGTTAAAGTTCTTGCGGTCGGAGAGCACAAAGTAAATTCCGAAATGAATTTTTAAAATTCCGAAAACCTGTTTGAATTGTCGCACTTTTGCTCTGAAGTTCCAAGGTGACGATCAGCAAAGGTCAGGGGGTCAGATTTCGGATTAGTAAAAAAATAGTGTTCCCCCATCTGGTGCCACATTATGAGAAGGAGCGGCGAGGATGAAAAAATTCTGATGCAGGAGAAAATATCGCAGAAAATAAAAATGAAATTTCGTGCGGTGAACACCTGTGCGCCTCGTCAGACCGAGCAATTTATCTCTTTGCCTGGAATTAAGAAACTTCTTCTTTCTCCCGTTCAAATAATTTACGACCGTCAGCGTTTGACGCAACCTATGAATGGAGAAAATTCGCGGATCAATGGACAGCCAGTTTTTTTTTTTAATAAAATTTCGATCGGATCGCCGGCGAGGAAAACGCGTAATTTTCGATCATCCATTGTGCCGCCAAGTACCCAAACCTGTTTTGCGGTCTCTTCCTCGTTTTATGGCGTGACTGGTGTGCGGTTTTCAGCCAAATGTCATGAGCAACAGAAACAATAAAAGGAAAAAAATGCTAATCAACTGCCAAACATATCCGCTTAGCAAACCAACAGGATTATGATATTTAAACTTTTTTCTACTTACGGAGAAAGGATTTTCGTGTTGATTCTGATTGGAATCGGATCTTCTCTGATATTTTGTGCTAAAAGCGTGACTTGGGCGTGCCGAATTTTGCCATATTAAGCATAGATCCCTGTTCTTTTATATTTGATTAAACAAGTCAATCGTAAAAATGAGAAGGATAAAACTGCTTTTGATAGAAGAATTTGGAGGATTCTTGATTGAGGATTAAAATGATTAAATTAGCCACTTGTCCTTCGCTGAATTCACCATGGCACTATTATTAGAGCTGTGAAGGCCCAAGAACGCTAAACAAACTATCAACACCACCTGCCGTCTTGTCCATTTTTCTTCGTTTAAAATAAAATTCTTTTAGAAAACTCGGTATATGAATGAACGCCAGCGAATGAATAATTCACGTCTTTTATCAAAAGAGGAAGTGAAACGAACAAAACAAAACACGCGAGACACCTGCGCTTTTTAAAATATTATTAATTGATTCCTTTTTAAGGCTGATTGATATTCACGGTCAAAGGTCGCTAAAACGCCAAATTGCAAAGCCGCCGATCAAGGCCGGCCAACCTTGAACCTGTCGCGAAAGTGTAGCCCACGTGCCTCGAAAATTGGCGTTCATTTTCAAAAGTAAATATAATTTTGTTTGATTTCAGGCTTGTGCTGGTTATTTGGAATCGGAATCTCCTTCTTCCTCATCGGCTCACTCGCCATCATCTTTCCGCCATTCGACGTGCTGATGAATGAGGTGAGTTATTCTTTTTTTCGAGAGTTTGCAAAAGCCAAGGTTTTTTATAGCACTCGCAGGAAGACTGCAATTAGCAATTCACACCCACTTGATCAAATTGAAAAACACAACAGGCGTCCTCGAACCGAAAAGTGCCGTTCTTTTGTTTTTGTTTGCACGCATGAAAGAAAATCATCCTGGAATGGGAATTAAATTAATCCTTAGACCGGATTTTCCTTTTACACTATAACAAAAACACACACAAAAAGTTACAAAAATAATATTGTCGGAGATGATTAAATAATTTTTGCTCTTGTTGACTGGCCAATCTCATCAATCATAAGCGCGAACGAACAATGAAGGAGGAGTGATAAAAAAAGTTGCGATGAGCAAACGCCTTAACCACGGCGGGGTACAGGGAAGCCCAAACCGCACTCTGCTCTTTTTTCAAATTAATATGTATCTGCCAAGGTTGGCCTTCGATCTTGGGAGGGTCGTTTACTTCGCCAGATGAGCACTGCAATTTTCAACAAAAAAGAAGAAAATAATAATCGGAGCGGCTCTTTTCTTTTTGCGTCAGACTTGGGTGTGGGTGCGACCGTGGAAAAGCAACCGTGAAATGACACAAAAATTGACTGCGAAATTTGCGTCAGAGGAAATCCCTGGATTTTTCGAGAAGGTGTGAGGACGAAATAATTAAGATCTTCTTTCAAGTTCAAACTTAAATTCAAAGTGCGCAATTCAAATGCGAATAGCCTGAAGCATAGAGATTTAATCTAATTGGTGCAGTAATTCGTGTCCGGCTGAGTGTTACATTGATGCAAATTTATTTGATTGCACATCTCCGCAAGAATAATTTACAGTTTTCGCATTTTTTTTTTCTAATCTTAATCTACACTCAAAAGAGACAATATACGACGCGCATATTTTTATCTGAAAATTTTCAGCCAAATTTAAAATTATTTTCTTATTGCAAGAGCCACTCTATAATGGATTCATCGCTGATGATTAGACTTTCAACATTATAGATCCTAATTTTTTGAAAAAAGGATTACATAACCAAAGCATATGTATATGTTCTAATAATTATCACCTCAAAAAAAATTGTAGCCACACGATCCGTGGATATTTTTATAAGATGCCCTTGGAACGAAAATCAAAAGTACCTGCAGACGGGTAAAAAACGAAAAGTGCACTGACTTGAGCTGCGTCATGAACTTGAACCGCGCAATTATGCACGCAGGGATTCCCGCACCATCCTCCACTCCACTTTGCGCGCCCCTTCGAGCGCCTAATTAGCAGACGGTCGCTAATGACGAGTCTCTCTAGAGATGAATTTGTGATGCCCGAATGACCGCACAAAAAACAGAGACGAAACCAGTTTGCTTGCGTAATGCGCGAAACGAAGGCACTTCCTAAAAGTGACCTCACTCTCAATGTCGGCTGGCCGGCCGGCCGGTCGGTAGGTCGGCAAGGCAGGCCACTTGCGTGAAAATTCACTTATGTATTAATTTGGGCATTTCTCTTCCGCAGAGGCTGCGCATGCTGCGAGGCTTCCCCGCCTTCGAGTGGTGGGTCGAGCCACCGGACGAGGTGTTCCTCCGCCTCTACATCTTTAACATCACCAACAAAGACGAGTTCCTGGCGGGCAAACAAAAACTCAGGGTACAGGAGGTCGGACCATGGATTTTCAGGTAAGCCATTACCGCGCTCGACTCTTCTCCACCAGCGACCTTGCAATTAAATTCATTTATATTCTTTTCTCTTTTTATGTATAATCTATTCCTTGAATCATACATCCTATGGCGGGACAAAATCATTGTGAAATTCTGTTTAAAAGTTTTAATTTTGTATCAAAATATTATTTTATAATATTTTATCTAAATTTATTTAAACTTCCTACATAAAAAATATAAACAGTTGAAACTTAAGTTACGATTTATTAATGTAATTTGGCAACTTAATCCCCTTCATAAAATTTCAAGTTCAGAAAAAAACCTCAAGAATGCGTGTATGTTCCGAGATTAATTTTTCGTGTCTTGATTAAGTCGTCAGATATAAAAATCCTGTTCGTCGTCGCTCCGCAAAGGTACTTGAAGCGGAAACTCCCACAAAAAGTGCGCGGCCGATTGGCCAAGTGGGCACGTTGGTTTTGCGTCACGAGCCTAAACTGTTTGCCCTTCTCGACGAGAGTGCCTGCCATTTTTTATTTGCATCTCGACCTTGTCCTCTAGTTTCGAATAATACTTGATTTTGGCCACGTAATAAAATTAAAACGTGTTCTCAACAGGGAGCGTTTACGGCACACAGACGTGTACTTCAACGAAAATGGCACGATGACCTACACGGCGCACCGCAGTGCCGAGTTCCTGCCCGAGCTGTCCGGCAACCTGAGCATGGACACCTTGCTAGTGCTACCAAATCTCGGCGTCCTGGTGAGTATCACGTCACGTACGTAGGCAACCCGCGCACTCCGCTTGCAACGCGTGCTGCAGCTTCCTCGCCGATCAGGCGCTTCCGATTTCCGATCAAGAAATATTAAGAACGACTCTTCTCATTGCAGGGTGTCGCCTCGTACATGTGGGACGCTTCGTTCTTCGCCAAACTGGGCATCAACATGATGATGATGAACTACAATTCGCAGCCCATAGTCACGATGCGCGCCGGCGATTACATGTGGAACAACACAGACCCCATGTTCAGCATGGCGGGCAAAATCATGCCAGACTTGGTGCCCACAACCAATCTGGGCATTTTACATATCGTAAGTTTCATAATTAAAAATTGTAATAGAAAAAAATGGAAAAAATTAATCATTCAGTGCCAGAAACATTTTGATGATTGTAAGAAATTTTCAAAGATCAGGATTTTTTAGACTTGATGAAATTAAACCTGTCACTTTGAAATAAAACTTTTGTGATTATTATTTTGGTCAAACATGAGGATAAGTTCACAATTTAAATTCATTCAATTCTAACGCTCCCTTATTTTTTCTTGTAGATATCTAGCAGTTTGAATATTTTCACCCATATGAAGCCACCCCATCAACGACAAGTCTTTAACATTTTGCCTTTAATTCAAATTTCTCTAGAAAGGATTTTAATTTCAATATTTTCAACTATTTGCAGATTTACGAGCACTTCAGTGACGAGGTGACGGTCTTTACGGGTTTGCAGAACAGCCGGCGGTTCTTCCTCATTGACAAGTTCCGCGGCTCGCATCGTCTCGGTCTGTGGGACGGCGAGTACTGCGACTCGGTGTACGGCGCCAGCGAGGGCGTCTCTTACCCCCAGTTCCTTACGCGCAACGACAGCCTGCTGTACTTGCGCAAGACCATTTGCAGGGCGACGCCGCTTTACTACGCGCGCGACGAGATGCGTTACGGCATGCACGGGCTGCGCTTCGAGCTGCCCAGCGACTTGTACGCCTCGCCTGACGAGAGGAGCGAGAACGCCTGCTTCCGACGCAGAGGGGACTTCAGCCCCCAGCTGCCCTCGGGCGCCACAGACATCTCGCCCTGCTTTTATAGTGAGTGTCCTTTAGAAAATTGTAGATCATTTTTAATAAACGGGAAAAAATCTGCAGATTTTCCACTTGCTGCCTCATTCCCCCATTTCATGCACGCGTCCCCAGAACTGAAGTCAAACGTCGAGGGACTCAAGCCAAACCCCAAGAAGCATGGGAGCTACGTCATTGTTGAGCCTGTAAGGCTTTGAAAAAAAGATGGAAATTGCAAAATTAAAAAAAAAATTATTTTTAGACAACTGGTGTGCCAATGGAGAGCAGTGCTCGAAGTCAGTCCAACCTGGTGGTGCGCCCTTTGCACGGCTTCTCCAAAGTCCAGGTCTTCAGCAACATGACCATACCCATGTTCTGGGCCGAATATGTAAGTTTTCATACTTGAGGAAAAAAATTCATAAATTTATAATTAATATTCCTTGTAGACCCAAGTCGGGTTGCCGTGGTACATCCGTTGGCTGATGTACCTGGTGGTGGAGGTGATCCAACCAACTCAACAGCCAGTGGCCTACTGCCTGGTAACCGCCGGCATGTCCATCATCCTGGCCGTTTTCTTCGGCTGGACGTGCACGCGCCACCACTACCAAGAGCTGAGCGGCGCCAACTCGACGCCTCGGTCGCGCTCCTACAGCTCGCTCAACTTGCTGCCATCCTCCAAGAGCAGCGAAATCTCCTTCCAGCCCGCACGCAAGGTTGACAAGCTGATGCACATGTGATATGTATCTTAACTTAAACTTTTTCGAATGGATTTCTTTGTGCGTCGGACTTTTTGTGTCGGAGCGAATGACTCGCGGCCCGAGCCGCTCGACGCGAGTGTGTGTGATTTTTCAAGTGAATACACTTCAAGCAAAAATTTATATATCTTAACTTATATGACCAGATTTGCCATGCTCAATGTAAACGTAATATTTTTTATGCATGTATTTTACTCCCAACAATGAATTTTTGTTCTTTCATTTTCCACTCTGCACTCGTGACTGACTGAGTCTTATACGAACCCCATTTTTGTAACCTCCTGTGTACCAGTCTTATTGTGATCAGCAGTTTTAATATGGAGCCTTTCAGTATGAGAAAGGCGCGCCGTTTTTATTTTCGTGGGACCTGCATCAGGTTTCTTTCCCCGCGGGCATCCAATATATAACGAATAGACAAATACTGTATTTTGTGTATTTATTAATTGTTTGAGCATTTATTTTACACCTTTATTGTATTTGTTATCCCATGCAGACATCAGTCTAACTCTTTTTATATTCAAAAAAATGAAATTCTGATCCCACAATAAATAATACTATACAAAATGCCACAGAACAGGGATTTTCTTTCAGCAAAAGCTAATTTTTGCAAATGTTTTTAAATAACAGAGTGCAGATTAAAAGAAACTTGCACTGCAGCACTCTTCTTCTTTCCCCTCTTCTTCAATCGCACTGCGAGTGCTTTGCACAGAACTAAAAGCTTTCTGTTGGAGTCTTTGCCTTCGAACGTCTGTCTGCCTGGCCACTTTGAAGATCACCATTACCATGTATTTCTGCTTGCGCTGGCTTGGAGCCTTCTGTGCAACCATCTGCTGACGCTGTCTGGCTCTGGACGGCGTCGCACGCATAGCCAAGGAAACATTTTTCTGAGCCTGAACTTTGACAGCCAGTAATCTCGGAGCTCTCTTGGGCACTGGCCAACGACAACACATGACGTCGTCACCCATCAGATCACAGAGGAGGTGGTAAATCGCGTCAGGACACCCTGCTGAAGCTACTGAAGCAACATTCTTGATTGGAATGTCCACTCCAACTGTAAATCCCTGAAAGCAAAATGAAATTTTAAGCTTTTCATGTTACAAATGTTCAAGTTCAAAATAAGATTTAATTCTCCTTGCAGAGTTCTTATTTTTACCTGAAGGGCAAGGGAGCAGACAAGAAGGGTGTCCTGAATGGCAGCATAGTCTGCAGAGAGCTCAGGTTTGCTCCTGATGGCATCTAGGAAGACGCCGTAGGTGGGTCTGTTCAGCAGAAGGGGCCACAGCACCAAGGCCAAAGAGGCGTTACCCATTGTGGCCAATATGTGCAGAGCTCCTCTTTGCACTTGAAGAGGCAGCAAACTGTCCTGCAGACATTTATTCAGTTTGTGCAGCACTTCTCGAACGAGCAGGATGTTTGGCCAACGAAGCATGGACCGACCCAGCATTTCCGCAAACTTGCGCCGCAGGTCGTCGTCTTTGCCTTGGTTTGACGAGAAGGCCACTGACAGCAGGCTGGCCATCAGCTTGTTGATCTAAAATTTGTTTCAGCGACAAATTTATATAAATTGTATAGAGGTTTTGAGTTATCTTCTTACACTGACTGACTTGCTAAGGTTAACGAACTGGTTGCTGATCAGGGTATTGACAATGTCAAATAAGCAGTACAGCTTTGCTTCTCTGCCATTGGCCAGTTTGATCTGCTCCGCCATGTCATCAACAACGTAAGGTAAAATTGGGCCTAGTAGAGAGTTCGAGCGCAAGGAAAGTGCCAAAGACTGAAATATTATTTAATAATAATTAAAAATAATTTAAATATTTGTCAAAGTTGGAAAACTTTTACCCTGAAATGCTGCTCATTGCAGCCACAAAGAATGGCTCTGATGCTGTCATAGCATAGAGTGAGCGTCTCTGGCAAATGTCCAACATTTCCGTCCTCTCCTCTGCCCATGATAAGCTCATCTAGATTTATAATTATTATACAATGGCATTTTTTCAAGCAATATTGTATTACTTTTAATGAAAAGCCCTCCAGAGAGTTGGAAAGTGTTTCCATCGTTTAGGACAGCACTGCAGAGGTTATCAGGGTCATTTTCAATGAGCACTCCACCAATATTCCAAAACTCTGTAATGCTTTCATTGAGACTGAAGATAACAGGATAATTCATCCTCTCCAAAACCTAATTAATAGCAACTTTTGTAATCAGGACTTCAAATTTATAATTTCTTTTTACTTGATTGACAGCTTTGAGCTGTTCTTCTGTGCTATCCACTGTGAACATTGCTAAACAAGACCATTTTTTATTAATAATTTTATCAATATTGAAACGGGTTTACTTAATACTTGAATAAGCTCTTTGACTCTGTAGGTCGCGTCTCCAATGATTGCAGAAGAAACGGCGACCGAAACTTGTTTGCTGATTAAATCTTCGAATGGGGCTGAAAAATTTGGCACATTTGAGAGGTCTTTCTGCACTTCTAGCTGGTCCAAATCAGATTTCGTGTCATCTGTCACGAAGCTGCGCATCCTGTAGGTCACCTAATAGTTTTAAAACAATAGCAATCAATTTATAAATAAGTACATAGTGTGAAAATAACTATAGTTATTTGCTGAATATTTTTATATTCAATCCTCAAAATTAATATTAAAATAAGATTAAATACAAACCAATTTGTCCCTTTGTTCTTGCACCTTTTTTAATTATAATGCCTTAATTAAGACAATAAAGTTGCCTCTATTCTTGCCTCTATTCACTGGACAGCTTCTTTTTTCATGCAGGCGTAGAGACCAGTTGTGTTGCATTTCAATGTGTTGGAAGGACCTGAAGATCGAAAGAAAATCATAATAAATATATTTCCATTAATGCTTTAAGTACATTTATACCATTGAGTGAGCAAAGGTGCAACAATCCATCTTGTCCACAAACTTGAAGTTAGGAAATGTGTAAGGAAATAGGAAATCCTCCTCAGATTCTTCAGTCTCCTCGTCACTGTCACTTCCTCAGATTCTTCAGTCTCCTCGTCACTGTCACTGCCATCAGTCACACTGTCAGAATCTGAAAGATTATCAAAAGTAAGATTTTTTTAATTAAAAGGGCAGATCCTTACCACCCTCTTCATTATCATCATCGTATTTGGGAGCAGGATAGCCTGAGTAATAGGCGCCACCACCTTCGTAATCATCGTCGTCTTCAACCCTGGCACTACCTTGTCTGCCAAACTTGTGCAACCAGGCTAGTTTAAAAGAAAAATTATTGACTGGATTTTGCAAACTTATCTTAAGTTTAGACAACTCACTGCTCATGCTTAGGTCCTTTGTCTCTTGGGTTTCGTAGTTGCACTTCGGACAAGGAACTGCTTTGCCTCTTTCGTACTTGAATCCTTTGCGTTTGACACCTTTTTGTAGCTCTCAGCTTCCAAGACCTTAAAGAAATAATTTTTTTTTAAATTTTTTTCTTACAATTTGGCTCTGTTTTACCTGGCAAGATTGGTAATCCTTGCAGAGGAAGTGTTGTTGCAGAAAGAGCGTCGGAAAACCCTGCCTCCGTTTGGGCCCAAACGCCTCGTTCGCAAACGGCGTTCAATCAAAGGGCACTCACAGTCAGTAGTCGCTAACTGGAATTAAGAAATAGAGAGCAGACGAGTGAGACGAGGCACCTTTTGTTGATGATGTTGATCGTAATCTTCGTCTCAGACCACACTTAAACATTCCACATTTCGGCTCATTCCGCAAGGCGCAAGCGGGCAGCGGCCAGCGGGCGCAAGGCAAGTGTTTTGTTATGATTTCGCTCAAGGAGAAAAGGAGAAAGTGTGGTGGAGGGGAAGTCTGGGGAAGGCGAAGGTGCCTTCAGAAATTCAGTTTTTTTTTTTAATAATCAAAAAATCTTGGATCTGGATGAAGATTTAACCAATTTTCATAAAGCTTGATGCAATCCTCATTGAGAACTTTTGTGACTTTTTGTTTTTACGCAATACACAATAATGCAGTTTTTTTTAAATGTTTGTTAAAATACCTTGGAAAAATTAGTACAACTTTTTGCCACCAGGTAACGCGCTGTCACTATCCACAAATCTCATTGGCTCCCGGCGCTCCCGCCTAAACGACATAGCAACAGATTGCAAAGCTCCTTGCGACTTTGTTTTGATTGGACATTGGACGATTGTTCGCGACTGACGTCCGAGAACTCCGAGACTGCATCTGCATCGAAGCGTTATCCGCCATTACTTCAAGAGCACTTTCGACATCCGGTCGGTTTTTTTTCTATCGTGTGTTCTGGTGGTTCTGCTGTCTCTCGCCCGGGAAAGAATGGACCCCGACGAATTTGAGGCTGTTCCCTTTGTGGTTAGGAACGCTGATGCCCTTGGCGCCGATTTTGCTGCGGAACTCCTCCGCCTGAAATTGATGGCGGACAGATTCGGCCTCGCAGTGCCTTGCTTGATGACGACTCTGTCGTGGCTTTATTTGGTTCGTGGAACCACAAGCACCTCGTGTTCATCGGCGGCCGTAAGATTTTCTTTCTCGTTTAAATGATATGATTTAATTCTCATCGATTTTTGTGTATGTTATTAGCTGTTAAACGAATTATTATAGTTGAAGGAAATAAATTAATTTAACCGCCCCTTTCATACCAGAGGCTAATGCAAAAGGGCCTCAATCTCATGCACCCTTTATGTAAAATTTTATGCATTAATATTTTTATTTATTTTTTTTTTTAGCTGGCAACTCAAAGGCCGCCTACAAAAACATGATCTTGGATAAGATCCTGGAGTCTTCGCTGCTCTTTGAACAGCGTCATGCAGGAGGCCCGCATGATGGAATGGACACACTTCAGCTGGAAATCATGAGGGCCGACTGCAGGAACAGTGTCAGTCGAAGGATGATTCTTATCCTAATGGACGCTCTTCGTGTTCCATTCTCAATCACGGAAGGTATTTTTATAAAATTTAATTCTTTAATCATAAATTAATAAAACACTCCTATGGTGTCCTGATTTATTGCAGACAAGGACGTGCTGCGTGAGAGAGCAAACGCACTCATGATTGCTCTGAGTACCAACACCTCATCGCGCAGTACGGGCTTCCTCCTCCTGCGCCTCCCATGCCTGCTGTGGTGGCGGCTGTCCAAGGTGCTGGACCAGCCGTTGGACCAGGAGGTGATGCCCAGCATGTGGGTGCAGCTGATGAGCAAATCTAGTTTTCCCTTTGTAAAGTGCTATTTTTAACTTTGTGGCCTGGTGACTTTGAAGTTGCCTGTTAAAAAAAATTACCTTCTAAGTTGATGTGACGGATTAAATTTGAATGATGATGCTTCTTTATTTCTAATTTATTAACTTCTTGACCAAACAAGTTATGCATTTTTAATACGGCTTTCAATTATGCTCTTTCTTGGCACTTTAAGAAAATTTATGTAGGTACTTGCACTCTTGAAATACTTATTCTTTTGTGTTTTTGGATTTTGACCAATCAGATCAAATCTAAATTTAATCTAGGTCTAACATAAAAATAAAAAAATTTATTTTTTTATATTTATACTTTGATCAGGAATATGTAAATTCTGACAGTCTTGGCAGGCATGACTGATTTTATACCATAGATTTTGATCATTTTAAAGGAAATGCACGGATTTCATTTAAATTTTATAACACCTGTCCAGAAAAATTTTTTCCTTTAATAGAAAGCTGTGATGTAATCAAGACAAAGCATCGTTAGGGATGGGCAAAGCGACTAACCAACTTATTCTGTATAATGCGACTTTTAGTGTTTTAAGCGCGTTTTCAGATGTAAGAAGTCCAAATTGAAGGTTAAAATTCAATTTTGAAATCGACTATTTGATGGAAAATCGACTATTAAGCTGAAAAGTCGACTTTTTTTCCAACTATTTTCCAACTTTTTGGGGAAAAATTAAATTTTTTGCCAATTTTGATTTTATAAAAAAAATTTATGGTTTCTGGCGACCATCTACAAATCTTGGACAGATCATTCTGAGCATTTCTAGCTAGTTTTGGCGAACAGTGATTTTTACCCCCTCACCCCTAGATCACCCTCTGGACTCGGGACTTGAAAAAAATTTCATGGTTTCTGGCGACCATCTACAAATCTCGGACAGGTCATTCTGAGCATTTCTAGCTAGTTTTGGCGAACAGTGATTTTTACCCCCTCACCCCTTGATCCACCCTCGGGACTTGAAAAAAAAATTCATGGTTTCTGGTGACCATCTACAAATCTCGGACAGGTCATTCTGAGCATTTCTAGCTAGTTTTGGCGAACAGTGATTTTTACCCCCTCACCCCTTGATCCACCCTCGGGACTTGAAAAAAAAATTCATGGTTTCTGGTGACCATCTACAAATCTCGGACAGGTCATTCTGAGCATTTCTAGCTAGTTTTGGCGAACAGTGATTTTTACTCCCTCACCCCTAGATGCACCCTCGGGGACTTAAAAAAAAATTTCATGGTTTCTGGCGACCATCTACAAATCTCGGACAGATCATTCTGAGCATTTCTAGCTAGTTTTGGCGAACAGTGATTTTTACCCCCTCACCCCTTGATCCACCCTCGGGACTTGAAAAAAAAAATTCATGGTTTCTGGCGACCATCTTCAAATCTCGGACAGATCATTCTGAGCATTTCTAGCTAGTTTTGGCGAACAGTGATTTTTACCCCCTCACCCCTAGATCCACCCTCGGGACTTGAAAAAAAAAATTCATGGTTTCTGGCGACCATCTACAAATCTCGGACAGGTCATTCTGATCATTTCTAGCTACTTTTGGCGAACAGTGATTTTTTACGCCTTCCCCCCAAAGAACCAAAAAATTGAAAGTGACTATTAACCAACTATTTGGTTGGAAAGTCGACTAAAAGCCGACTATTTCAAATAATAAATCAACTTAAATAGTCGACTATTTTAAGGTTCAAAACCGACTTTTTTGCCCATCCATAAGCATCGGATATCTTGTGAGTGAGAGAGACCGATTCCTCGGCAAAGATGGTTTCGCGGTGTCAACATTTTGGTGATAAGCAGCCGCTAATTGCAGCAGTAATGAGAGTCAGCATCAGCAGTTGGGCCGCGATAGGGGTGGCTAGCGCGAGTGGCGGGGGTGCTGACGTCACTCTCGGGGAGGCCGCCCTCGGACCTGGAAGCGAACGCCTCGGATACGGAGCCAGTTCAGCGGCGCTGCTGGAGGCTGTGCGTCTTGTTGGCCTACACGCGTGTCCAGCAGCAGGCCGACCGCCTCCACCGCCGAGCAGCCGCCTCCGACAGTTTGAGCGCGGACATGACGATCTCGGACCGCCAGCCTGCCGAGTGGTGATCGTCGGCAAGGTGAGTTGGCCGCCGCCGACCGCCCCCGGCCCTCGCCGACGGCCCCCGCGCGTTCTTTCTGCCCCTTGATCGCAAAACATACACGCCGCGATCAATAATCGCCGTCCTGTGTGCATGGCGCGTGTGCTCTCGCGGTGCTACAGTCCGCAGTCGGCCGCCCCTGGAGAGGCCTCCGACCCACCCCCGGAGGCCACGTGTCCGCCCCAACGTGTTTTTTTTTCTTTTTTACAAAATAAGTTCTTTCTATCTGTAGTTCAATTCTAATTTATAAAAAAAGAAACTGTTCTAGAAAATGTTTCTAGAAAATACGGCGTCGCTCAACGAGCAGCTGTTGGGAGAGAGCCGAGGACGCTTCGGCACGTTGAAGGAAACCCTGCTGGCCTCGCCCACAGGTTTCAGCAGCTCAAGTCGGGCATCACGAAACTGACGATGTATGAGCACTTCACCTTCAGATGCAACAAAAGTGAGTTTTTTTTTTATCAAATAGGCATTATGCTTAACATGATTGTTGTGCCAGTTGCATAGATTCGTTTCACATACATACCATTAAATTTAAAACTACATAATGCATCAAATTTGATTATTTTTATTTGCATAATTTCAATCATGGAATCTAAAAAGTAAAAAATAATATATTATGTTGTATATTAATAATAATATATTTATTATTAATATTATTTTATTATTTTTAATATAATGTTTTTAATGTTCTAAACTATTAATATTTTTGTTACAGGTTGCAAGCCAAAGTTTCAAAAACGGTTTTGTGCGCATCCTGCAAGGGTGGAAAGGTGACTCTGCGTCGAACGGCTCTCACCCTTCAGGCCCGAACATCACAATTCCAACCCCCTCTTGGCCTCCCCGACTCCTCCTCCCATGTCACTGTTGCGTCTCGTGGCCATCAAGGACAATTCCCCTGACGGCGGTCGTCGCAACTTTTGCGAGAAGGACAACTTCGACTTGAGCCGTCAGTGCGATACCTGTGTTGACTCGCAGTACAGTTGCACCTCCGTTGTTTTTTTTCTTCGGCTTTTCACCCAATTTTTAACCTTGGACATGATTTGAGAGAATATACTAAAAATTTTAACTATTATTAAAATGACATGCATGTACATAATATTATTAAAATAACACGAGCAACATTTTTTTTTTATTTTTCCAATACCTGCCAAAAATTCGGTGACCATTATCATCCCCAAAATTAAACTTTTCACTGAAAAAATCATAAAATTGCTTAAAAGTGACCTTGACTCATTGACATTAAAAAGGCACTGTAAAAAGCATATGACCTTTGGGAAGCAGCTCAGTAGCGCTTCTCATTCAAATGTAAAAGACTATAATACCAGCATGAAAAATAATAAAATATATTGTTCATTTTAATTTTTTTTTAATTTATTCCTATCTTGTACATACACCTAATACTCTGATCTTATCTTGCATATACTGTATCACACATTCATCTTTCATCGTGACTAATAATTAGTAGCAGTGGAGAGACAACGAAAGTTGTAATCTTGTAGGGATAAAAAAAATGGCAGCTTTAGAGTAAGATGACTTGATAGACAAGAAGGAACTACAACCAATTTTAGACTTCAGCCAGGCAGAGCATACTTTCTTCAAGCTAGGGAAGAGCTGGAACAGTTTCAGATTGCTTAAGTTCCAGAGTACAAAATTCCACACAAAGGGTTGGATTGTTTTACATCTTCAATATAGATTTTCTTAATAAAATATCGAATGCCCTTTAAAAAAGAACTAAAAATTTGCAGGGAAAACCTGATAAGTTGAGGATAACAGACAAAAATACTTTTTACTTTTAAACCTCTGTAATAAAAAATCCTAGTAAGCCGTCACAGGAATTTAAGTTTTTTCTCAAAGAAGATATATTTATTGTTCAAATAGTAAAAATCCCCTGCACGTATTACAACCCTGTGCCTCCATACATGCAGAGCGTAGCCGTAAAACTGGATGATCTTTGTCAGGTGGAAATACACTGGAAAATGTTGAAGATTATCGGGCCTAATAGTAAGTCAAAAATAAACAAGAAAAAATTTCTCCAAGTCATTAAGAAAAATATCAAAGGTGGTATTCCTGTATTTCGGTTGAGAAAATTAGATTTTATAATGGGCACAGCAGGACGTAAAAGCTGGCTCATAAGCATCAGCGGGGTAAAGAAATCCAAGAAAATGAGCTGGAATTCACAAAACTCATCAAACTTGCACATTCAAATACTGCGTATTGAATTTTGAAGGGTTGCAGAGAGATAGTTTTAAAGAATTTACCCACGAGAGCTTTTCTAGTGTAGGAATAAAATTATGAATCTTTTATCATCATCAAATTTGGTGAGAAATAGGGCTTCGTCAGATATGTATTGGGCCTACGTGGCTTGAAAGTGGGTTAATCACAGTCTGAACGTAATATTTTGAATAATAATATTGTATTGGGGGCAGGCTGGAAGATGCTTATTACTTGGGCAAGGAGGAAGTTTCAGTCACATTCGGCTTTGGTGTCTCACTCACAACAGGGCTCTGAGATATTGTGTTTGGGGTGTGCTTTTGGTACGGTTGTTGACGTCCATTCTTGTGCCAGCCACCACCACGGCCTCTGGATCCAAATCTCGACTTAGAGCAGGTTCAAAGTTTTTCTCATGCTGTAAAAAATATTAAATATTATTCATATTAATAGACTTAAACTATATTAAAATAAGATTAAATACAAACCAATTTGTCCCTTTGTTCTTGCACCTTTTTTAATTATAATGCCTTAATTAAGACAATAAAGTTGGATACCGATCTTTTTCTTGCCTCTATTCACTGGACAGCTTCTTTTTTCATGCAGGCGTAGAGACCAGTTGTGTTGCATTTCAATGTGTTGGAAGGACCTGAAGATCGAAAGAAAATCATAATAAATATATTTCCATTAATGCTTTAAGTACATTTATACCATTGAGTGAGCAAAGGTGCAACAATCCTTCTTGTCCACAAACTTGAAGTTAGGAAATGTGTTAGGAATTCCTCCTCAGATTCTTCAGTCTCCTCGTCACTGTCACTGCCATCAGTCACTGTCAGAATCTGAAAGATTATCAATAGTAAGATTTTTTTTAATTAAAAGGGCTGATCCTTACCACCCTCTTCATCATCATCATCATCGTACTTGGGAGCAGGATAGCCCGAGTTATAGGCGCCACCACCTTCGTAATCATCGTTTTCTTCATCCCTGGCACCACCTTTTAATTGTCTGCCAAACTTGTGTGACCGGGCTAGTTGAAAAAGAAAAATTATATAGACTGGATTTTGCAAACTTATCTTAAGATTAGACAACTCACTGCTCATGCTGAGGTCTTTTGTCTCTTGGGTGTCGTAGTTGCACTTTGGACAAGGAACTGCTTTGCCTCTTTCGTACTTGAATCCTTTGCGTTTCACATGGTCATCGCAGAAACAAACCTTGCAACGCAAACAAGAGTATTGCCCTGCCCGAGTCGATTTTGCACGACTGAAACTTGTAGCTCTCAACTTCCAAGACCTTAAGAAAATATTTTTTTTTTACCATGTTGCTTATTTTTGAAGGCTCCGTTGTACCTGGCAAGAGGCTTGGTGCTCAAATTGGTCATCCTCGCAGAGAAAGTTGTCGCAGTATGAGCATCGGTAAACCCTGCCTCCGTGGGCCCACACGCCTCGCTCGCACTCTCGTTGCAAACGGCGTCAATCAAAGGACACTCGCAGCCAATGCACTTGCAGGCATTTCCGTCCATGGCAAATCCAAGCCTCGCAGTGGTCGCAAATTGCACCCTTTAAAACAATTATTAATCTATGTGCATAATTTTTATAAATAATACTAACCACCATGCCCAGACCTGTCGTTAACACTCCAGCGTGCTTGACGTATGACACAATTAACAGAGACACAAATCTCCAGTTTTCAACATACTTGACTGCACTTGACTTTCCCGCAGTGGCTGCAAACTGGAAGACGCTGCAGACGTTGACAGAAGGCCCGATTCTCTTGGTTTCTGAAATTATTTTCAGTTTTAGATTTATTTTACCTCTCTTAATTTACATAGTGGTGCCTCATTTTGCATGCAGGGCGTTTCAGACTAGGACGACTAGGTGACTTTTTTTGAGGTGATAAAACAGGATATTTTGTTAAAGGATGTCTGACCATTCGCTATTACTGCATTCCCATATAAAACTAAGCGGTACGAACAACATATTACCAGGGTGGCCGAAAATTCGGCGCTTCTATCGGCAAATTTGGCGATTGAAATTTCGGTCCGTGGACTTTTTTTGCGCATTCGCCATGTTGGCCCGCTCTTTTTTTGAAGCAGTGAAACACATTCATTTCTCTTCCTTCATTTGCTGGCTGGCGGCCGCTGCTGCTCGGTCATCAAAGACAAGACACAAGAGCGAACAAGTCTGGACGGCATCGGACGTGCTGCGAGGGGAAGGAAGGAAAATTAAAAAGCACTCGCTCGGTTTTATAGAGATCGGCGCCAATTAAAAACTGTCTTATATATGAAAAATTCATATTTTCAGCATTGATAGCTAAAATATATGAATCGACAAAACGTTGAAATTTTTATTTTTGAAAAAAATCATTATTTGAAGCGGAGTAATAAACTAATAAAGCATTTGGTTCAGTTCAATATAATAAAGAAAATTTTTTAAGAATAAAAACTTCAAAAGCAAAATGTAGAATGTAGCCAATTAAATTATCCTTCTTTTCGTTTTGAGGGCCGATGCTGTCAGAATTTTTCTTATTTGCCGCCTGAGGAATCAAAATCAAATTATAATATTTTCAGAATGGAAATAAATTTTTTACAATTATTTCAAGATAGCCAACAGTCCAATCTATTGGGAATTTAATTTTGACCCCATTTCTCAAATTTCATTAACCGATCTTCAGCCGTATTCTAAAAGTGAATGTATTTTGAAAAGCGCCGAGTGACCTTGATGATCGAATAAAGCTATTCGAAATTAATTTTTAATTTGAAAGCAGCTGAAGATTTTGGTTAATGAAATTTGAGAAATCGGGTTAAAATTAAATTTCCAATCGATTAACTATCTTGAAATAATTGTAAAAAATTTATTTCATTCTGAAAATATTATATCTTGACTTTGATTCCTCAGGCGGCAAATATAAAAAATTCTGACAACATCGGCCCTGACACGCGACCAAATTACATCTCTAATACTATATGTCCAGCAATTAAAACTTAATATTATTAAAAAGTATAACTGCATAACATTTACAATTTTTGTAACTGACATGGAAATAACTCAAAATATTAAAATATGAATTGAACACAGCCGACTCATAATTATTGTCATAATTTCAAATATTATATATTTCTCCATTTGTTAGTTTTATGTGATACATTATATACCATTATTTTGAGTTTTACTTTTGTTTTCACAGTACATTTATTTAATGAAAATACAAGTTCCTTTGAAAATTTTAGAGTTGCACTAGTTTAAAATTTGATTAGCTTTATTTATAAATTTTTTGCACTAGTTTAAAATTTGATTAGCTTTATTTATAAATTTTTTGCACTAGTTTAAAATTTGATTAGCTTTATTTATAAATTTTTTGCACTAGTTTAAAATTTGATTAGCTTTATTTATAAATTTTTTGCACTAGTTTAAAATTTGATTAGCTTTATTTATAAATTTTTTGCACTAGTTTAAAAATTGATTACCTTTAGCAAAGCATGCGCCTGCAGTGCGCCACAAACACCCAAGTCGCCGCGATTATCGAGAGTCTCAATAAAAACAAAGGCCCGGGAGCGGACGGTCTCTCTGTGCGCGACGTACAGAGTGCTGGAGGCTCTTGCTAGCGTAGTTTGTTCAGTGATTAACGGCTCAATAGATACGTCTATTTATCCAAATTGCTTTAAAACAGCTGTTATTCGCCTAATATAAAAGAATTCAGACCATAAAAAATTTTAAAATTATAACGCCCCGTTTCGTCAATATTGACCGTTTTTGATAAAATCTTTGAACGTTATATTGAGATTCATTTATCAAAATATTTGAAAGAATTTAAAGTGATTGAAGAGAGACAGTTTCCTTTTCAGAAAGGTAAATAAGTACTAATGAGCTGTTTGGGGAAAATAAACATGTTACAGCTATCTTTATCGATCTAAAAAAGGCATTTGACTGTTGTAAAAAAATTAGCAGAAAAATAGAAACAAATTGGTATTGATGGCCCTTTCCTGCAGCTCCTTATAAACTTCCTATCTTAACGCATATTTTTCTTGTTGACGAGCGAGCCCAGAGCGAGCCTGTTTACTTACAATTTTGCCTCGCATCAGCTCCATCTCTAAGGCTCACCTGGCAAATTTCTCGGTTTTCTGCTACTTTTTGCTAGGTGACCTCTGGGTGAAGGTCGCGACACTGGCGGTCAAACACAGCACCCGGCCGGGCAAGGAGAGGAGCGGCGACTCTCGCTGTTTAGCTGTCTACGAAAAGCAGCGGAGCACGAGGAGTTGACTCCTCCTCCGAAACATGCGGCGGGAAAAAGAGTCGCGTTGCTATATTATATTTTCAGAATTCAGATTCATTTTAGAAATAACTGAAAATTTATTTCACTCTATAGGAAGTATCATGAAAAATTAATTGGCAACTTAATTTTATTAAGAGATGGATTATTTTTCCTACATCATTTACAGCAAAATAAGTTTGGCCGTATAATAATTAACTTAAATTTTTGTAAAAATTCTTATTTCCTATTTCCTTGCTTTTATTTTTTTTTTAATTTTCCGTACGCCTCTAGTGCTTTTAAATGCACTCTTTCTCTCTTAATTTTAATTATGTATACAATTTCCAAAATTTCTTTATTTTTATTTGATTAAAATTATTTATATATGAGTTTTATTTGCATCACTTTTAAAAATTACAGAAGCCCAGAATTACTTATATGAACTTAACTTTTTTTTATCAATTTTAAGCAATAATTAAATACAAATATTTGCGAGGATAGTAAAAAGAAAAAAATTTAGTCCAAAATTAATTAATTTTATATAATGACATTTAGCGGGTAAAAACATTTTGTCATTGTATTATTAAGAATTTTATTAATCAAAATTTTTTTCTTTAATAAATTATTAGAAATTATTCTAGAATATTGTTGATTTGCAACGAAAATTCCTGCTAATAAGGACGTTGGAAAAATTGCAAGACGATGATTACGATGAGTGACGTAGCATAAATTAAAAAAATTACGAAAAAAAAATACTTATAATGTACTTCAACTTTATAATTATCTTCCTCTATAGACTGTACATGTTCGATGTAGAATAGCACCTTGTTCATGCTTTCCATTTAATTAATAAATAAAACAATGTAACTTAATATTTCTGACCTTTTGCCCTACTTGGCATATTTTCTCGCTCAATACAGTTAAAACTCAAAGTGAATTGACAAGGTCAAAAAGTTTTTACCAAAACGCACACGACGCCTCTTTTAGTTGCGGAAAAACACCCGGTATTTTGATTTAATTTAAGAAAATTTGGATTTGAAAGCTTTGAGATATCGCTGGATTATCCAGAAGTGCGCTAGGCAAAAACAAAACCAGACAAAATAATATTAAAGGTTATTTTAATTATTATTTTGGAACCTTCTTGCACCCACAGCTGATGGGAAAAATGTAAACAAACGTACTCTCTCGCTGACGTCACCACTGCCCAAATCTGATTGGCTATGGCGGAGCTCGTCCATGAAATATGATTGGCTTGATAAGTCACGTGACGGCGGCCATTTGTCCATAATATTATGGACAGAGCCAGCGCCACAGTCACAACAGTGGCGAGAGTCGCCGCTCCTCTCCTTGCGGCCGGGAGTTCTCAAAAAATCTCCCTAACAGCTGGATTCAATGAGCAAACTTATATTTCATTTATTATCTGTTTTAAACGTTTTTAAGAGAAGTATTTATCAATTATCCTGATCTTATAAATCATTTTCTTCATTTACGAGAAATATTTTATCGGTAAGAGAATTCCTACGTTTAATTTGTTTTTTGAAAAGTCACTCAATGACTTTATCATAAGCTCTATGTTAAACAATTTCATTAATTAGAAATAAAAAATTATGAATTTTTCACGTTTATATTATTACAAATAAAAATTAAATACATTCAAATCAATTTTTTATCGTCATTTTTTCAAACTACAAATTCACCTTGGCTAATTTTTGTCTACTTTTCAGTGCCCTTTTGCATTCTTCTAACATATTTGAAATATATACAGCCTGGTCTTCAACGTTTTCTGGAAAAGTTGATGACAAAATCAGCACAGGATGGTATCCTAATTTCTCGATCATTCTAAGTTTCATAGCTAGACTTCCAATAACTTCAGTCTCTGTATTTCTTATCATCAATGCTCTACAGCCGTAAACCAAACTGATCCAGTTGGGACTATCCGGGCGTTTGATTTCTCCAGGAAACTTATAGCCGAAACCTTCAGGGATGTCCTCCACTTGCTCACAGTCATCACTCAGCTTGATAAAAATGTCCGGGCGAAAGTAATTTGGTAAAGCGTGACCAATGTACATTTTCTTACTCCAGTCCGCCCCTAGGACTTTGGTTAAACTGGCGGCGATTTCCTTAAACTTCTTGTCACTGTACGAGCCCTTGTCCATGCGGTTTAAGAAATCGTTATAGAACAGCGGGGTCTGGCTAATCTCCCTCGACAGAACAGATCTGGCTTTCTCCGAGAGCCTTGCTCCTGAGTAATCCGGACATTCGATCTCAAGCCCTATGTCCAGGGAGAGGATTTCAAAGCCAGAGGCTTTGACACTGGGCATGTAGACGATATTTAAAAACTCGTGGCTTAAAGCTCTGTTGGCCAACTCGTAATCGTACAAACCCAAAACACTAAGGTAATGCAGAAGGGCAGTAAAACTTCGAGGGTAAATATTGCATTCCTTTTCCCGCTCCGGCGACTTGATTTCGTCTATGATTGTCTGATAAATGTTTTCGGTTATGCCAGGCAACTCCTTAGGCCACTTAAACATCTGCAGGGCCATGCAAAGGCGTTCGAGTTCCTTCAGTCGGATGTTCTTGATGTTGGAGATAAGTTGTTCGGTGGCGCTGGCCATGATACCATGGTGAGGCATTTGGACGTTTGTTCCGGCCAAGATTAAATGCATAGTGGCCATGTCGGACAATTCCTTGCTTTTAACTCTAGGATACAGTTTTTCCAGCATCTGATAGTGCAAAGGAATCAATCCCAAGTGTAGACCCATGCGAATAGCCTGGAAGCAATTTAATTTGTCAATGACAAATATTACATGTAACAAAAATTAAATTCGTTCTAAACATAATTAAAAACAAAATGAGTATCTACTCTGATAATCTAAGCAAATATAAGTTAAAATAATGAAGGTGACCAAGGCTAATTTAGTCTACCACTCAAACTGCATTTATATCTGGGCTAGGATTGCCTTAATTAATTGTTCCTAATTGATATTTTACAATTATATAGATTTTAGTTAAAAGTATTCAACCAATTCATCTCATTTAAATGTAAATTTAATCATTTTGATGTTTTACCTTTGCAATACAAGTGATAGTGATATTATGAGCACTTTCGGCATTGGTGATGAGTTTCCTAATCATCATCTCCATCAGGTTGAAACTGACTATTCTCTTCTGCGATTTGAAAAATGCCATGGCACATATTCCAACCTCCTCAATACTGAGCGCAGAAATTTTCTTTTCCAGATACACTTGGAGTCCAACAACTTCCTTGATCGGGAAATATCGTCTCGCGTTGACATAAAAGAGACTTTGGATAATTTGAGCGTGCGAACGATGAGTGACTCTTTTAAGTAGTTTACGATTTGCCATTTCTCCAAAGTGGCAGAGTCGCAGCAGATCCACGTGGTACCAGTGGTCGAGAAGGATAAGCAGCTGGCTGTGGTCGAATTCCGAAAATTTGGACTGACACGCTTTGTCCAATTCCATCCACAAGCGATGAAAGTTCTCCGACTTGACTGTCGGAGTCCGAGGCCAGATATTCAAACAGAATAAAATTTTGCACAGCCCATCAAATGAGTACAAAGGCAGAGCTTCAATTAGTTTGGTAACCTGAAAAATTAAAATTTTTTAATTAATAAGGAAGGAAATCAATCTCCAAATAAATTAAAACCATAATTTGATTGAAACATATTTCTATTCAGAATAAATAATAACAAAAATCAATGCTTAGTTAAATAATATCGCTTGCAGGAAATTTTAGATTATATGATCCAATTATTATAACCATCGAGTTGAAGCAGGGCTCAGACAAATTGACATCCATATTCGAGTGAAGCACAAAATAGGAGACTCGGACGAACTGGTCCAAAACGTCCTGCGTATTCCACTCATCCCTGGCCAGCAATTCTGTGAACTCGTCACTATCCAAAGGTCTTTCAGGTAAGTGGAAGTCCTTTGTGAGAGGAGCCAGGGTGGACTGGTACTTAGGGTCTCTTTTCAGGAATTCGTAGGACGTTATGTTCTCGGTGCCTTTCAGCGGTGGTCCTTTCAGCACACTACTGCATTGCAAAAGACGACTCGGACACAAAGCCAATGCTGATGGCTTGTGGGCAGCATGCTGCAGAATTGTCCGAGACAGACGCTGCAGAATTCTGCTCATCTTGAATGTGAAAAGACCTGAAATGAGACGAATTTTTTGTTATATCATAATATTGTTTCACTGTTTTGCAGAATTCGGACAGAAATAATACCTGAATTTTACGTCTTAGTAAAATTTAATTACAACCGGTGGTGAAAATGTCGCATTTTTAATTCCATTTCGCCACAAACTGAGAGAATTTAGGCGACATTGATCAGTTTGTGTTTATGCATCGACAAAGCAGCCATGCCAGCGCCAGCGCCGCCAGCTGCTTGGCAAACCACGTGACTCCCGTCTCTCCCCCCCCCCCCCACTTTTACTGTATTCTATTATGTGCTGCAGTGTTTCTTTGCAATAAATTTTTATTTATGTATTTCACTATTTAAACTTATGACAACAAATTTTATCTAACATCATTAATTTTAAAGTTTGTGTAATTAAAAAAAACTTGGCAATTTTATTTTAATCATTCATAAATAGTATAAAATAATAGCATAAATTGATAAGTGCAATTATTTAATTAAATTTATAATTACAGATAATTATTATTTAAAATATCAAACAAATTATTTAAAAATATATGGCAATTCCTAAAATTTAGTCCAGGAAAGTTTGGAGTAACTTTTCTTGAGTATGAAGTAGTTCTAATCTCATGGGTGTCATATTTAAAAAAAAAAAAATATTATACAATTTAATTTAAATTGAAAAATTAATTGATATTAAAATGATTTTCATTTAAAAAAACTATCCAATTATTTATTTTAAATAAGGTAAAAGATAATTGTGGTACATGTAATAAAAACACAAAAATCTATTATTTAGGCTCACTGCGGCGGATGGGGTCTTTTTGATCTCGGAAGTTTTAGCAAAATTTTTGCTAGTGGTGATGCCGTTTTGTCCAACAATCTCTTTTTTTCTAAATAATTGTTTTTCAAAAATTGAATGTAAACAATGTATTTGTAACAATGTGGACAAATAAACAACAATAATTATTCGTTTTGAATTTTATTTTTCATTACATTTTGGAGAAAAAAAATTAGAATATTTTTTTCAATTCAAAATAAATTATTTGTTGGAAACATTTGGAAATAATATTAACCTCACTTGTTTATATACCCTAAGTACTTTTTGATTGGATCTAACTGAACAAAAATAAATTGAAAAAATTAAATCATAAATTTATGCAATAGATATATTTTTTGTCTCTATGCCGCTTATATTTTTACGTTTGAACGCATTCAAGAATTGATCGAAGTCTACTTCTTCTCAGCAGCCGGTGCTCCAGTTGGTTTGCCAATAACAGCGAGCGTTCCATACAAAATCAATGAAGTGCCCTTCACGCAGAATTGCAATTGCAGAGAGGATGAAACGCTCGGTGGCTCTCCGACGACTCGACAGCAAGAGATTTATTGGAAAAATTGCGACGGCTGCCTCTGGCACTGAGCACCAAGGTTGTCATTCCACGCCAACAAATGCGATTCAATTTTATTAAAAAATATCAAAAGATGCATGACGGCCTTGTGCAAATCTTCAATTCCAAACATGAAAGCACATTGAAGTACCTTTGTATACTTATTATTATTATTAATAAGATAACTGAACGGAAGGTGTTATATTTTCTATAGCATTAAAAACAAGCTGGTTTCATTTTGGCTGCAATTTCGTTTATTTAATCATTATTCATCATTAAATTATTTTTGTTATTGATGTAACATTCCCTCTAAAACACTTTATCACAGTCACTTTGAAATGAAAACAAAGATATTGAATGGAGAGTTCAATGTATGAGATAGTGAATCAATCATCAGCATCATCATCAGTATTATTACATTCTTATTTGGGGATATGTGGTAACAACACACGCGCTTAATATGCTCGTAAATATAATCAAATTCGTCTGCGTCAGTCTAACTGCAGATCTAGTTTTTCAAGTCAAATTTTCCATCAATGATTTGTTTTTTCTTTACTATAACATTTTGTTAATTATGTTTTTCCCATAATGGAATGGATTCAAGTCTTCGATATAGCCACTGTACACATCGATAGTAAATTGTAATGTAGACTGTGTTTGTTTTCTGCTTTTTTTTTTGCTTCATCTCTTTTTATGTTGAGTGCGCGGACACAACAAAAAGCGTAATCGATATTTACACATCGATGTATGTAGTAATAGTACAGTACACATCATGTTCTTCTTTAAATAGAGCCCCGTATGCTATCAAACGAAAAGGAACTATTTTTACATATGCAATATTCGATAATAAACCACGAACATAACTTACAAATTAGAAAATCGCATGCTTGACTGTGATCATTGCAACAAAGATTATTTTTTTTTATCTGAAACTTCAGCAGTGAACTATTTCAGTTTTTTTTTAATCATCAAAAAAATCATTTTTGGGTGTTTTTGTGTATTTCACACTGCAATATACAAACATTAATTTTTTTCAATTATCCTGGGACAAAAAGCCAATCAGCATTTTATAATTTTTTTTTTCAGATTATTGGATCATATTTTTCTTTTTCATGAACTACATTTTAATCAGCCATTGAGGTCTTAAGTCTATTCATCGTACTTAAAGCTACTTTTTTCACTTCTGTATATATACATTTTGAAAGAAACAAAAAAACAGTTCATTTTTTCCACCCTTTTACAAATCGGTGACAAAATACAGCATCATTATGCGTAAGTGCAAACCACTTACGTCCAGAGTAAATTTTTCAATCAATTTAGTCAATTAACGACACTTTTGATGAGACTCAAAGCGCACGGTGAAAGATCGCGGGTATTGTGTATAAGATTTACACGTAATGGCATTGGCTTAGCGCAGCAATTAGATATAATTTGGAGAGAAATTAATTTCTTGCAATTCGAATCCTTGATGAATTTTCTATACATAGTGTGTGAAACAAAAATGCATTTGCGATTTCACCAAAAAAGTTCATATCGAACTGAAAAAAATGAACATCAATCAAATTCCAATCAAATTGGGAAATTTGAAACGCGTCGAAATACCTTGCAGAATTTTACAGTTTAAGGGTCAAACCCTTAGTGTGACCAATAGTTTTGGTTTAAAATAGAACAAGAAAATTACAAACAGTATTATTTTTTACCAAAAATATCCAAGGTCTCTTTAAACAATAAACAAACATTAAAGAAAAAGCTGGAAAAAAGAGGTAATTCGAAAGGGAAAAATTTACACAATTCTGCAAACGGAATTTCTCCGCATTTTTTTTTTTTTAATGATAAAGGCGCGCTGTTTTTGGTATACTTTCAAAGGGAAAAATACAAAGTCGTGAGCCCGAGTCCCATCTGCTGGTTGAGTGAGACATGGAAGAGACCCATCACTGCGCGTATACAACTACGGGAATGGCACGGGGAGGGCGCGCTAGACCTGGAACAGACGAAGCATGTTCTCGTTGTTCCACAGCACTCGGTCCTCGGCGCGGCAGTAGTAGTTGTTCCACTGGTTCGAGTCTTGGCACACTTTGCACACGCCACAGTCTTTGCTGTTGTTGTTGTTGATGTTGTTGAGGCAGACGGGCCACGCGGGCGCCGCCGGCGTCGACTCGACGAACGAGGCGCCGCCCGTCCACTGGACGGGGGTGCTCACGCGGCTCCGCTTCGCGCCCGAACTCCGAGACGGCCACGCCCGTCGGCCGGAGGCCGCCGGTTCGGGTTCGCAGGCGGCCAGCGGCCAGTAGTTCTGCTGCACCGGCGCCGGCCGGCAGGCGCGACAGGCCACGGCCGTCACGCCGACGGCCGGTTGCTGGCGGCTGTTTGAGGAAGGGCAGCCGCAGGACTGGTGCGGCTGCGAGGGGATCTGCGTCTTCCCAGGCGCGACGCCCACCTTGGGCAGCGGCGGCAGGTGGTCCGCTCCGCAGGCGGCCGCGAGCAGCTCTGCAAACAAACAGGGATTAGCTTCCATCATATAAGTGTAAAAAGAATAAAGAAAGACAAGAAAGGAAATTCGGGGAACGGTGCAGTCTGAAAGGAGAGTTGAAAGTCGTGTCTTGGGATTTTCTTCCCAGGTTGTTATTTTTTCCCATTTCGTTGCTGCTGGAAAAGGTCAGACGTGGGATAAGAAGGCCGGCGCCAGACTACTTGTTTTGCTGCTGCTCTTTCGTGTGTAAAAGCTACATGCTCAAAATTTGTTTTGCGCCCCTGTGAAAAATACTTTTTGCAGCTTTGTGTAGAGAACAAGATCCTCTTTTGAAATGTTCTTCTGCGTCTTTTACAAAAATTTATTCCCTCAAGGGTTTCCAAACTTGAGATAGCTTTCACAGTAAATTAGGCTTTTTGAATATTATAATCTCTACAATTTTATTAAAAAATAAATTATTTAAACGGCTTTTAAATCTGTCAGCTCCCGGGAATTATTTAAAACTTCCTTTCAATACGGCAATTTCTTTGACCAAAGAATCTTCAATGCGCAGCAATTAAATTTCAAAAGAAAGTTTTTCCCCCATAATGGGATTAGGTAACTAATTGAGGATGCAGGATGTACCCTCTCCGATAATTAAAAATTTCAGAGATTGCGTGCGCTGCGAATAGTATTATCTTTCATCCAAGGGCTCGACAGAATTCTTGCTTAATTATACCAAAGCAAGAATTTCATTTTCGTGCAATCTGGCCGATGAGAGGCTTCAACTTAATTCGATATTATAAGCGAGCACAAATCTCCCGCACAGAGCGGCGGCTGGTATTAAAAAAGCAGCAGGCCGCCCCTTTCTTTTTCTTTATTCTTCGAGCATCTATTCTCCTCTTCAAGTTTAATTAGTCCCTCCGAGGGGAATTTTATTACACGACAATATAAACAGGCATAAAAACAAAAGGCTGCCTCATCTGAACGGATCAGCCGCCCATTTCCAATCTTGTTCTCTGATGGCGTAATGTGAAAAACTCTTTTCGCTCGCGCACCACTTTTCTGCAGAGCCGACGAGAAGAAGCGGAATTGGCAAATTAGCCCCGGCCGAGATGCAGACGAGGCACATCGCCGAGAATCGACGTTATTATTATTACGATTATGCTCTGCAGCGGCGCCGGGGGGAAAACGCGAGGAATTTTTCTCCGCTCTCCGAATTACATCAAAGCGAGAGAAGATGTTACAAAAGTTAGCTCTCGCGTCTCGCAGGGGATGGATTTTTTTATTACACCGAGTGAATAAACACGGCGCAGAAAATGCAGCAACACGGACCCGACTGGCTCCGACACGCTTTGAATTATTCATCTGTCGGCCTTTGAATCCACGTGTACACGTTTTAAATGGGACGGAGAATAAAAAGAGAAAATACAAATTTATATGTACAAAAAAAAAAATGAATTTTCACGGGTAACAAAGCGTTGATAATTCGCCGCAGGGAGCCGAGCCGTGATTCGATTCAATTAGTGCGTGTTCCGTAGGTAATTACCGGCTGCTGCAATTTGTTTCGAATTTGCATCAAAAGCGGCGAGCGCGGCCAATTTGGTCTGCAGAGAGAAAGAGAAAAAAGCAAAATGAATCACGCAAGGATGGAGCAGAGAAATCGGCTTCCCCGAAATCGCGCAGCCTCTCTCGGTCCTGCGGTTTTCCCTTTAGCACAAAGAGCATTCCGGCGCTCCCCTATGGTCACCTGCGTGGCCGTTTCTTTTCTTTTTCGCTCGCTCAGCACGACGACGACGGCCATCAATAAGTGCACGCTGAGTGCATGACCCCGAACGAGGGATTCGAGCGAGCCGGGAAGCGAGGCGATAAAAGTCATGACGCTTGACAAAAAGCATCGACGTGTCGCGCTTCGGCCTCGACTGCTTTTCCCATCACACCCACCAGCCAGTTCGGTGGCAGACGGCCAAGTGTTGGCAATAATCATGCTAATTGCCTATTCATTTCTAACCCTTCTGCTGCGCTTCTGCCCTTTTCGGACATTTTTTTTCCTCCGCACTCACTCACTCCATCAATGCGCTTGGTCCGCCGGGAAATGCCGCGTTTCATAAATTAGTCTCCACGGCCATGTGGCCCTATCTGAGGATGAGAGACTCACTGTGTGTGGCGTATAATTTATTATTATATTCTCCCATGCGCTCCGACGTGATTAATGGAGACGAATTGATTTCCAGCTTTCGAGGAAATCTAATGAATGGGCGCCGTGTTCCACGGAAAAAGGCCGGACAAAAGACTATATTCGAAATTCCAGCGTTTTATAACATAATTTGTTTGAAAGTATACCGGTGGATAATAAATATTCAGCAGACATAAAAATGCCACTCGCGAGAAAGAAAAAGATAGAAGCGAAAATCGCGGCGCGAGCACACGCGGCTCTGCCCGAGGCGAGTTAGTTTCCTCTGCTTTTTTGGCACCGGTGGCTCTTTCTTTATACCGAGCAATAATTTATTCCAAAAATGTTGTTGATTATTTAGCATTCAGGACCAGTTCGGCGGTAGCAGCTCATTTGAATACATTAAAGGGGAGCCCATGAATGAAATTATTCGTCATTTTCTCAGGCCGGCCATTTGAATAATAATCACGGACCCCTTATTCGCGCGCGCATGAGGACGGCAAAACAAAACATTTTGATGATGGAAATTTAAGCCGAGCACCGCATGCACTCAGCAGCATCCTCTTTGTTATTGCCTCACTCGGTGGCTCTGCTGCTGCATTTACAGCGCTCGGAAGAGATAAAGTTTGATTTATTCGAGCGGCGGCTCGTCAGAATTGATTTTCCAACAATAATACAACAGCAGTGGTCTCTGTTATATGTTCGGGGCGACTCTCCGAGTTGCTATCGAGGCCGAAATTCGTTTTATGAATTTATAACCATAACGCACTATCGACGGCGCTGCAGTACCATTTTTGCGCCCATCGACCGTCCCTCTCGTTACGTTTTATTCAAAACTAATTCCCATCATTTATCTTTGCCGATCCAATCTTGCAGCCGAGAAATGAAAACGTTCAAGTTAATCAAATAACTTTTCACTTCCAATGGTAAAAATATACCCGAGGCGAGAGAAAATTAAGCGAAAATTTTATTTTTCTATAGGTCTTCACTTGAAAGATTGTAAAAGTTTTTTGACGAATATGCATCTCTTGTATAGCTTCACTTTACGACACGTCTGACGTCGCTTTTGGTTTATATTATGTTATTGTTTAATTTTGAAAAGATGGAATCTGTGCTTTAGTTTAAAAAGGTTGGCACGCCGGGAGCGACTTTTTATGATTTCCCTAGCTCGACTCGGGGCTTTATTGTCCGTGCAACGCCGCCGCTGGAGGTGGTTTCGGTTCAGTTTATAAATAAAAGTACAGAGTTTATCTTCTACAAGGTAATAAATAGCCCTTTAGAGGAATTCCTGTTATATGCGCGCGGCGTACAAACAAACAACCGCGAGTCCTTCGACCAATTTTTTTTTTCAAGCTTTTATCGCCAAACCAGAAAGGAAATGCTGCACGGCCAGAATTTCCACCTCCGGCCGTTGCTTTCCACGCGCGGTTTCCCTTTTCCTTTCTCGAAAGCGGCCAAATGTAAATTTTTAATTAAAAAAAAAATATTTATACATCAACCAGAACGAGAGAAGATTCTGAGAATGGTTATTTTCAATTTAACCATATTTCACATTTTGCTTGGAAGACTCAAAATCTCTCCCTTCCGAGTGAGAAATAAATACCGAGCAGATGGCCTCTTTTGCGCGCACCCACCTGCACAACAACCACCAAGATTTGAGATGGAACAACGAAGAATGTGCACCCCACATGCGGCTCAGCTAAAATTTTAAAATTTTTCTCACGAGGGGGCTTCTCATAATTACAGGATTTATTTTTATTCAAGCATTAATTAAGTCGGCGTAAAATGTAAAGACAAAATCCATTCGCATCATTGCAATCAATTGTTGCGATTGCAGAATAATTTTGGCTTTTTTTCTTCTACAAGGTGGTTGGCAAAGAGGATGAGAAAGGAATGTGGGCGCTTTGCAGTTTACACTTCTGCTGCATTGTGCAGGTGGCACCACCTTCCTCTTCACTTGCCAGTGGCCCAAAATGGCCTCGAGATGATTGAAATGATTTATGAAAATTGGAAGAAAATTCGCGAATCGGGCAAAATTGAGACTTGAGACGGAATTGCGGGATTTCGGATCTCCTCGCCACGTCGGGACTACTTGGAAAAACCGCCCCGTCCGTTTCCTGGTGCAAGGTCGGCGATTTTGATGTAATTCCACGTGTTTGCGTTGAAAATTTATGCATGTTTTTTTGTTTGTTTGTTATTGATCAAGGCCAAATTTTATATTCGTATTTATGGTCAACAAGCATTTAAAAAATCTAAAATAAAAAATAATTTCTCATGGATATGCTAATCTGAAATAAATATTACACCTTTTTTTTTTAAATTTAAAAAAAATATGGCCTGATAAATAAACAATTTACTTGGATAATTTATTGTAAAATTTGTGTGGATTTTCCAGACTTTTGAATGAAAAACTTCTTATTAAAAAAAAAATCAACGAATTTTGATGGAAACTTTATTTTCCTTGTCAGCAATACAAACTCGCTCCTCGAGGGAGGTGAAATTTTAAGCGGCCCCAAAAGGGGTTGGCAGAGCGAGCGAGCAAGGAGCAGTTTCTGTTGTATTATTAATTCGTCTCGGTGAACAATAACAAGGAGCGGTGCAGTGGCCATAGAGCGCACTCAAAGGTCTGCTGGTCATGAGAATTTCAAGATCCGCTCGCGTCATTGTTAAAAAGCAGACCAAGTATGACTGGAATAATTGAAAGTCCGCGGCCAACAAAAGGGAATATTTATTGTGCACGACGACGACGCTAGGAGCAGAATTTCACGTGTGACCTCAGTTGCTGGAAAATTGTAGTAAATCATTCCCAGCTTGCACGACAATGAGGGCATTTTTCCCTTGAAAAGATGAAAGAAATTTGTTTAT